GGTATATGAGAGCCACCAGGGAAAAGGGGTCTTGTCTTTCAAGAAAATTCTGAGTGAAATTCAGTAAAGTAGAAGGGAGATTAGAAGGAGCAGAAAGAGCAGAGATGGGATAGAGACTGGATGTCAGTAAACTAAATTTGGATGCTGGGACTAAGTCCTTGGTTTATCTTTTGAAATACCGTGTAAGACAGAGTAAAAGATGCCAATAATTAAGGAAACTGGGCTAATGATCAGAAACAAGTATGCGTTAGAAGACCACGAAGAAAATGGTTTGTGCAAGACATTAAAATGATCCAGGTTTTCCCTGTGGACTTGCATAGTGATTTTTATTTGCTGCGTAGCATAAGGCAGAAAAAGGAGTGCAATGGTATCCCTCCACCTCACTTTCCCCCCCCAGGAAAGGAGATTATGGGTTTGTTTCCTGGCAGTTTGAGTTGGTAGAATAGATTAGAACTGGCTAATCTTCCGATGTAGGAATTGGCACATTGTTTCTTGATAGTTGATGTTTGAGACTGGGGCTCTGTAGCATAATTATTTGACCTCTTTTAAATTTAGCAATTTCCCTAAAGACCGAGTAATTTAGTAAGGACTGTGGACTTTGAGGGTAGTATGTTTTACTAGCTGATTCACTTAGGCGATTGTTTTTACCCTGATTTCCTTCTGAAGAGTAGGGAAGGTTATATTCTTCGCTTGGGAAATTCTTCTTTCTGTCCCCCCTTCCCTCACTTTTTCCAAATTCTGGGCACAATAGCAGCTCTTTCTCTTCTGTGGCAGGTGTGCATCCTATTGGCTGGCTGGTATTTCTTGTTTTCTTTTTTTTTTTTTTTCCTACTTCTTCTTTTTAAATGGGGGTGGGGGTATAAAAATATGTGTTATGGGGTACATGCAATAATGTTGTAATGTTTCTTGTTGTTTAATGGATGATTAATTGCAAAATAATTGTTTGAATTATAACATGTTTGAGTAAATGCTAAATTAGTTTTTTTTCTAATATAATAATGAATTTGAAATCTAGCATTCCTGTAACAATGTGTCTGTGTTTGTCTGTCTGTGTCTGTCTAATAGTAATTAATATCTGTGGTCCGTACCTGGAAGAGGAAGTACAGCTTTAAAGGAATAACAAAAGACTTTGTGTCTTAGACCCTTCGCAGGTGTTACAGTCGGGTGAAAGAACATGGTGTTGGGAAAAGAAAGAGCAGTTACACATTTGAACAGTTGGAACAGGTGTTTGGTCAGGGAGGATGGGATGCTCAGCCCTGCCAGCCTGTACTTATTAACAGTAGTGGCTTGTACCAGGAGCTGGAGTCAGATGGCAGCACTATGGAGGAGTATTCACAGGAGGACTGGGGAAACCACAGTCAGGATCTCCATGGCTATCCAACAGATCAGGAATTGGGTAAGAAAGCCAATACATATGATACTTAACGTGTGTGTGTGTGTATGTGTGTGTGTGTGCACGCACGCCCCTTTATATGTGTATTTGTACTTAGTAGTTCAGTTCCTGCTGTCAGCACAAGGCACACAGCCAGCCCATTTGGGGCAATCTGGACATTGTTGGTTTAGCCCTCAATTGCCAGCTAGTGCCTGGTGTTAGTCATTTGGATTTGCGGACCAGCAAAAGGCCTAAAGACCCACAATTCCTAATCAGTGACAGGTAGAAGAATCCTATATGCCGTTTCAAATATCCTACACCTCCTTGTTCTAAGATAGCTGCCAAGAAGGTTAACTCTTGGCTCAAAACTGCTGTAGACATGACTTTCTTTTCCTTGCTTTATTCCAAATACTTTTTATTTTCTGTTTGTGATTTGGAAAAGGTCCCCACCCACACTTTAGTCTGAACAAAAAAAAAAAAAAAAAAAAAAAAAAAAAAAAAAAAAAAAAAAAAAAAAAAAAAAAGAAGAAGAAGAGAAGCCTCTGTTTATCTTGAAAAGAGATGATATTTGAATTTTATCAGTGAACATACTCCTTCAGAATTCATTAAGGATCCCATCTGAGCAGTGGCTGGAAATATTCAGACTTAGCATTAACAATGGAAAATAAAACTCCTGGCCATCAAATCTAAACGCGGGTGGCCTAATTAAGAGGGGATACGTAGTTAGTTTTTGTTTCTTTTTGCAACAGACTCTCCAGTTTGGATTTTTATAATTTGGAAGTGCTAATCAGTTTCTGCTGCAGTCACTGGGCTTCAGTAGCAAGTTGTGTGATGCGTGTTCCCTTACAAGTAAATGTTTTCTCCCCAGTGAGCTACTCGGGCAAGCTCCAAAGAAGTATAAGTAGGATTGGCACTATGAACGTGCTTCCCTGGCTTAAGATAAAAGTCCACAGGCATTGTTTTACAGAATTCCTGATGATAGAGAAATGCTAATGCAAAAGAAAAAGGATTAAATGCTAATATTTCTTTCAAATGCGATTTCTTTTTAAATCTCTCAAATATTGGAAGACAGGGAGAGAAGAAACTCTTAAACTGTAAAACTAATGCCATGTAAAAGAAACTTAAGGACTGGAAGAATAAAAAGGGCAGATACCAAGTGATCACTACCTTTTAATTTCCAAACAGTAGTAAGGTCTAAATTACTTTGGCATCTTGTAACTCTGGTTTTGCCATGGAGAATTAAGTCACCCAAACCTTTGGGAAAAAATAAAATAACATGCAGAGTATATTGATTCTGATATTGGGGGAATAGTTGCTGTGTAAAACCTACATAGAAAACCTAAATAGAAGAGAATTACTTTTCATTCTTGTTCCTTCAAAAATCATGTTTGCAGTGAAATTAAGCTTTAAGCTCCTAGCTAGAAATCCCACTGGTGACCTTGAAGAATTTTATACTTGTAGAGCTGGTTTCTGATCTTGCATATAAATGTATGCATCTCATTATAAAAGAGTTATATTTATAAATCTGGCATTGGACAGTGTTTGACACTAGAATTACGGTCTTGCGTTGGAAAGTGTGGAACAGACAGTAAACACAATGACTTATGTACATAAATGTCTGCTACTTAGAAAAATATAATCTCTTTCAAAAACCTTGCTTTTCAGATGAAATACCTGTCACAAAGAGAACATTAAAAATAAAACAAGAGTCTTCTGAAGAAGCACAGTAAGTAGATGCTTCTTTCTATAAAGTGTATTTACCTAAATGTAATGACCATTGGGAAGATCCAGAAAGTCATGGCTGTCGTTAGACTTGTGGTGGAAATTGTAGGCATGCCACTGCATGTAGTCATTGTTTCACATCTTTTTAGCTTAAGTTTGCCAGTGCCTAACCAAAAACATTGAGAATTTTGTGTGCGACACAAAGAAATAAATGTATTACACAAAAATAAGTGTGTTTATGGTGTTTGCCTGTACGTGAATGTGGATGTATGGATGTCCAGTTATGGTACTGAGATGATCCATGGGGCCCTGAGTTTATTTGGGCTTAGGTGAGAGGACAGGAGGGCCAGAGGGACACTTACATTCCTTATGATATCACACTGTAAGAATCAAAAAGCAGGCTCTTAGACAGCCTTTTTATACATCTGGAAAAGAAAGCAGTTGCTGGAGGAAAGATTAACCTGGGCCAGGGCCCTTCACCTGGTGAAGTTCAGCACTATCTCTTCTGTAAGGATATCACAGCTCTCTGAATTTCAGTGATACTATATTTGTGGTTCTTGTATTTGTTTTTAAGAGAGAGACTGTGAGTGGGGTAGGGGCAGAGAGAAGAGTGGGGGGCAGAGGATCCAAAGCAGGCTCTGTACTGACAGCAGCGAGCCCAACGTGGGGTTTGAACTCATGAACCAGGAGATGATGCATAACCACCTGAGCCACCCAGGCGCCCCTGTTTGTGGTTATTTTGAATAGCTTTAAGTAAATCCCTGATTATATCTATGAAATATATTAAAAGATAAATTTAGTGGAAAAGTGGAGGGACACCATTTTTTTTTTAAGCTTGGTCATCACCCATTTTTTCTTCTGTACTTCATTCCATACATTCGATCTTGATGTTTGAGGGATGGTGGAGAAAGGGGGAACAGGCAAGACAGAAAGAGGTGTGATAGGCAACAAGCAATATAAAAAGGAAACTGATGTTTTCATTTACCAAACCATCACCACCACCACCCTTTGCAAACGCTCCTGCCTTTTTCAGAGCATCTGTGGGACCAAAGAATTCCCAATATCAGCTGCTTCCATGACTGGGGAGACGGTGAAAGTTTAGGGATCAAAAATTGTTCCTTAAAATTGTAACCACTCCCCACTCCTTAAAAAAGAAGTTTATGGCTCAAGTCAGTAAGTTTGAAGCCATCTCTCGTTGGGAAGTAGGTCTGTTTTCAAATTGTGACATCGGAATGTCCCAAAGAAAGGTTAACTTTGATGAGTATTTTTAAAAATACATTATTACAAGTCCATATCTTCAGACCCCTATTCTCCAAAAAGGCCATTCTCTCCCCTTCATTAAAATGTCCCATCTCTCCCTTTCACCCAGGGGAGACCCAGTTGATGTAACTGGAGATGAAGTGAAACTTTACAGAATTGGTGTCACTATGTTCAAACCATCCGCACTTTTCTTGTGGTTGGAACTTCAGAAATCAGGAAGTATAATAGACAGTTCTCTGGAACCACTTAAGTACCTGGGTCTCGTTTTCACTGTGCTCTGTAGTTTTGCAAATGTGATGAGTCTTAAGCCCAGGGACCTTCAGGCTGAGGCAAGAAACTAAGCAGGGCAAGAAACTGACAGGCTATGTAGAAATAGACAGCTTTGCTGCCTCTTGTCGAGGTTTTGGCTCACAGGGGAAAAAATATTAGATTGATTCCTAGTAGGCCATTTATTTTCCAGTACAAGTTTCCCCAGAACTGTTTCTTATTGATGATTTAGGGCAATGACAGTGCTGAATAAAATAACTTCATTTGGGCATTGGATTATTTTTTTCCTCTAAGTATAGGTGGGATTAGCCTGAGCCCGCTGACATAGCCTATAGTTAAAATATTCCATGCTTCATCCATAAAGAAGAGTCACCTAATCTGCTCATTCAGTCCACATTTATTTGTCAAGTGCCTCCTTTATGTCAGGCATTGGGACACGTCGGTGAGCAGAATAGATGAAAATCTCTGCCCTCCCTCCCAACTCCTTAGCCTGTCCTTGAGGTCAGTGTCACATTTCAAAAGAGGACACGGAAGGATGTGGCTGTGAAAGATAGCTTTTTTTGAAAGCGTTGACCCATGCAGAAACATGGTTCTATATCTTCACCTCACAAGCACCAAGCTAAATGTGAGAGAAGTGATCACTGAGTGCCTTTGTGTTCTCTGAGAAGAACAGTCCCCACTAATCCAGTGGTTTCATCAAGGTGGCCACGCTGATACTTGAAACTTCCATGACAAACTCAAGAGCGGCCGATACGTCCAGGGCAGTCTTTGGCTCCAAGAAGCAGCTGATAACCAAATATTGGCATTTTGTCATCTTGCAAAGAAAGCCAAAGAGAGTACGAGGACAGACTGAGAATGGCTGTGTGGGAGATTCCCCATTTTGTTCCAAAAGCTCTTCCCCTCAAAGATACAAGAATTGAATAGGAAGCTTTCAAGTATCTGTCTCCTTCCGCGAAGCCATTAGCAACCAATGTACATCCTCTTCTCTTGCCTGTTGGATTGTACATAAGGGCGGTAGTTGAGTATTTTTGTAGTTTAAACCTATAACCGATGTAGACTGTGATAGTTGGTTGCGAAGTTAATACATAACAGACTTCAATCTTCCACTATCCAAGTTTTGCCATACCTGAGAAACAAACTTGTAATTACGTATCCTCATTATAGTACGTGAATTATTGAAGCAGCAGTTACAATTATAGGAGTTAAGCAGCATGTGAAACAAGAACTTCCCAGCATTTTCTGCCTTACTCCTTAACTACCAAATCAAATTTGAAATTGTTTCTATGCTTTTGTTCCCTGTTAGAAAGTATTTTGTTAAAAAAAATTTTTTTAACATTTTTATTTACTTTTGAGAGACAGACACAGAGCATGTGAGTGGGGGAGGGGCAGAGAGAGAGAGAGGGAGACACAGAATTTGAAGCAGGCTCCAGGGTCTGAGCTGTCAGCACAGAGCCCAACGCGGGGCTCCAACCCATGAACCACAAGATCATAACCTGAGCCGAAGTCGGGACACTTGACTGACTGAGCACCCAGGCGCCCCGAAAATATTTTCTAGAATAGGCTTGATTCATTCATTTTCCCCTCTTAAAACCTGAGCTTGATGTAGACCTTTTCCATCTGAATTCTCAGGTCTTAATTTTGTGCTTAACTGACAGTTCTTCTAAATTTGGGAGTAGTAATGAATTTTATTTTATTTTATTTTATTTTATTTTATTTTATTTTTTAATGTTTATTTATTTTTGAGACAGAGAGAGACAGAGCATGAACAGGGGAGGGTCAGAGAGAGAGGGAGACATAGAATCTGAAGCAGGCTCCAGGCTCTGAGCTGTCATCACAGAGAGCCCGACGCGGGGCTCGAACTCACGGACCGTGAGATCATGACCTGAGCCGAAGTCGGACGCTTACCGACTGAGCCACCCAGGTGCCCCAGTAGTAATGAATTTTAGACAAATAGAAAATGTCATTTTGTTTTTGCATGAGGTCATTAGTCCTAATCAACTGTATATTTTCCTACAGCAAACACATATGGGCCAAAATTATTGAACTTTAAGAATTTCCAGGTTAGAAATTAAGCTGTTCATTATTTTAATTGATACTGAATACCTTTTTGAATACAACATCCTTTGTCTGCTTTTGGTACTTAGATCTGAAGGCCACCATGTGCATTATAACAGCCACTTTATAAGTCACTCAGAGAAAGGCAAATACCATATGATTTTACTCATATGCAGAATTTAAGAAACATACAAGCAAAGGGAAGGGGTTACCAGAGGGGAGGTAGGTGGGGGATAGGTGAAATAGCTGAGGGGGATTAAGGAGTGCACTTGTGATGAGCACTGGGTGATGTATGGAATTGTTGAATCACTATATTGTACACCTGAAACTAATATGACACTATGTTAACACTAGTGGAGTTAATAATAATAATTTTTAAAAATTCTTGATCCTTGGATTTCTGAAACCCTAGGGTCTTAACGTATCAATAGTTACTAGGTTTAATACAGCCAGACTATAGAAGTAATGGAAAGCAGTTTGTCATTAATTCCTAGAAATTTCCTAGAAAGAGTGTTTCTCAGATTTTAATACTATGATTATCTAGACCTGCACTGTCTGATAAGGTAGCCATTAGTCACATGTGGCTATTTAAACTTAATTTCAAATTATGATTAAAAATGTAATAGTTCACTCACACTAGCCACATTCTCAGTGCTAATGGCTACCATATTGGACAGCACAGATGTAGAACATTTGCATCATTGCAGAAAGTTGTGTTGGACAGTGCTGATCTAGACACCTGAAGAACTTGACTTGTGTTTCTCTTTCCAGGAAGAGAGACATCATGCAAAATATTGTACAGATTTTGGAATCAGTACAATTGAAATGGGAACTGTTTCAGAGCTGGACAGACTTTTCAAGGCTTCATCTTTCTAATAAACTGGCCATTTTTGGAATTGGTTATAACACCCGTTGGAAAGAGGATATCCGTTACCATTATGCTGAGATCAGCTCCCAGGTGCCCCTGGGCAAGCGACTCCGGGAGTACTTCAACTCCGAGAAGCCCGAGGGACGGATCATTATGACCCGCGTGCAGAAAATGAACTGGAAAAATGTTTACTACAAATTTTTAGAGATCACAATTAGTGAAGCTCGGTGCCTGGAGCTGCACATGGAAATTGACTGGATACCCATCGCCCATTCCAAACCAACTGGTGGGAACGTTGTTCAATATTTATTACCAGGAGGCATTCCCAAAAGTCCAGGCCTTTATGCCATTGGTTATGAAGAATGTATTGAGAGGCCCCCCTCACCCCACATGGAGCGACGTTCCCTAGACCCAGGAAAGGAGGGCCGGGTTGACTTGGAGACCCTGTCAGCACAAGCCTCATTACAGGTGGAAATCGAACCCACCCGAATAATCTATTGCTACCTCGGGATTGCTGAGGTCAGGACTCTCCAGCAATGCTTATTTTTACATTTCCAAGCAAATACCAAAACCTTCAGCAAAGATTGGGTTGGTATTAATGGGTTTTTGTCTCAGAACTGTATTGTGGATCCTGGAGTTTCCCCCAAATCCATCTATATCAAATTTGTCGAAGTAGAGAGGGATTTTCTTTCCGCTGGCTCTTTAGTTGAGTGCCTGGAAAAAGCCATTGGATACCCCTTAAAATTTAACAACTGAATGTCATCCTTCATAAGGATTTGGGCTCTTACCTCCCTTTTCTCTACTCACTTTCCATTACTCAGACTGCCCCTCATCCAGATGCTGCCATCAGACTCTTCATGGGAATTCTTTCCACAATTGGGCCAGTACAACTTCTATGGAATCATACTAGACTTGGGGCAGAAAAAACAGACCTCACCTGAAAATGCTCATTTTGAGCAAACAAGATATACAGCGAACTTGCATGGTGGGTCAACTGTTTCTTTTTTAAAAACAAAAAACAATTTTTAAATGGATTTTAGAGCCCTAATATAAACAAATGTAGGTACATTCCATATTGGACAAACTTATACTTTGAGTTTCATATGAAATTGAAAAATTGTATTTTTTTCACAATGTTTCATTTTTACACATCTCTATGTCTCTATATAAGTGTTATTTACAACCCTGAATAAATAAGCAATAGATAATGGCAAGTTAAATCTTGAGTCACCGTAAATAAGACTGTTTTTCAATATCACCCTTAGCTATATTGTATATAATTTAGAGTTTCATTTTTTTCACCAACCAAGTGTTTTGCTATTCCCGATCAGTGTTGCCTGCAAAGACCTTTGTTTCTGTGATGTACCAACTTTATGGTTGTGTTACCATTTAAACTTTTTAACAAAGAAATTATTAAAGTAATTCTTGACCTCTTGGAGTACTAGTTGAGCTTTTTGTAGCAGAGCTGAGAATGTATGGAACAAATGGGGCATTTCATTTCATATTTCCTTTTTTTTTTTTTTTTTTAAATGACTAGGATATTCCTGCTGACCCTAAGCATGTGAATTTGTAAGAGATTTTCATTCCTCATCTTTACACTCAGTAGTCAGGGGCGACTCTCTCAAAGAGTACAAGTGGAGAACTGTCATCATGCTGTTTACAAAAAGGGAGAGACGATCCAATAGAAACACCCAAAACGTTTTTGAAAGTGATCCACAGGGTAGGAGGTTGTAAGAAAGAAGTCCATTAGGAAAGTGGTTGTCACATTTCGATCTCTCAGGGATTTCTTTGCATCAACTAGCACTTTACTTAGAGGTTAGTGCTCTTCACTAACGACTAGATTACTAGAAGGGCAGTCAAGGATCACTTTGGTCTTATGGCCAAGACTTGTTAGATTGATGATTTATCTTTAATGAGTCCCCCAACATCTCTCAGGTGCTCTGCTTTACACTGACTGCAAATCCAGGTAAGAGCTCTAATTTTCCCCATTTTGAATACTATTGAAGATAAACTTGCACACTGATAAAAAATATTCTTTTCCTTCCTGCACCCTGGTCTCAAATCAGTGATTTTCTCATCCTGATACCTCTCGGCTTGTTGAAGCTTATTTTTCAAATGGCTAGAGGGCTTCTAATCAGTGGGATGACTTATGAATGTCATTTTAGTCTGGGTTTAAGGAGTTGGCTGTTTTCTGATAGAAGCTGCTAAACAGGGTTTGCTAGTTGGGGTGCCTGGCTGGCTCAGTTGGTAGAGCATACAATTCTTGATCTTGGGGTCATGAGTTCAACCCCCACATTGGGCGTAGAGATTACTGAAAATAATTTTTTTTAATGGATGCTAGTTCAGTGAGAGTATAAATATTCTTGGAATTTGAGTGTAGCACCTCTTCTCCCTAGGTACAGTCTGTAGGTATGGGCCTTATGAAATTCTCATGAGCTTGCTTTTCTTTGGAACTTGGAATTACAGACCTAAAGGCTGAGGCTGCACTGACCATCTTATAGCAGTAATTTCTTAGTATTTCAGCGCTAAGTGCTGCAGGAAAATGCATTACCAGAGTACCACACGGTATCCCCGAAACTTTGCCACTGACAAACCCCCAAATCAATGTGCTTCAGGCATTTTTTCCACTCTATCCCACTTCCTGCTGCTGTTTAGTTACTTAGCTGGGGCAGATCATTTGGGGAACATTTAGTGAGGATGTTTCAGACTGACCTAACATTACTGAGAATGGGGCACTACTAGACCACTGTGAGCAGCACGAAGAAGATGGCCAAGACTGGATCCAGGATCCAGTATGTTTTCACCATTTGGCTTCGGATGGATGAGCCGTAGCGGCAAGAGGACAAAACTGAACACTGGGAAATGGACGCTTGGAAAGAAAGTAGCTGCTGCTAACTGAATATCTAGTTTCTTTGGCCAGAACAATCTAGAAGAGAGGATAGCAGGGAATCAGATAACTATATGAGCTTTGCAAAATAAAACGGGGGGGGGGGGGTGAGGAGGCTCTAATGAAGCCTTATAATGCGTCAAGGGGGACGGAGACCCTATGTTCAGACATAAGAATCAGCATGAGAAGATACTTTGAGATATGAGATGAGGTATAATTGGAAGAAATACTAGTGACCTGCACGTCTCTTAAATACGAACTATGAACTTAGCTCTTGCGTGCAACATGTTTGTGGAAGCAGGCTCCAGGTCACTCACGGGTTATCTGCCAACATTCTCATTTTACACAAGGGTAGAGAATAGGGTTCCTCCCAAAATGCATCTTGGCACTTTCAGAAAAGAATAGAGCTGCTCTGCTAACTGCTGTCACTTTGGCTCAGGGTCAGCAGAAAGAAGTGGTTGGAATAGGCGTTCCAGTGGGAAATGTTTTGGTTGGGGTCAAGGGCGGTGAGAGTCCTCACAGGACTGCCCCTGTGTCACATGGAGATTTTCACTGCCTACATATCTTTGGTTGCAGCTTTACTTCTGATGTTGCAAGTTATTTGGGATCTAAATTCCAAAGGAAAAGTTGGCTACAGAGAGTGTGTATATTGAGGCTCTAATATAGCACTTGATAGGTATGAGCACAGCCTGCAAAATTAGTTGCTTTGGCGTTCCTGAGATGCAGCCGAAAGACTTTGTACTTTCTTGGAGGGAGTTACTTATTTGGGGTACATTAACCCTGGTGTGGAAATGAAGGAGGAATGTTTACAGGAGCTGGTTTGCAGTGTAAACTAAAGGAAAATTTGAGTGTGACAGAATAGAAAAACCAAACCAACAGCCCCCTCCCCTAGTACACACACACACACACACACACACACACACACACACACACAAAACACCTTGACAGTCTAAGCTTGTAGGTCCTCGAATAAAGGTATGAGACTGGCAGTAATCTATTTCTGTTGCCTTTGCTGCCGCTGAGCTGCCAAGTATTAGATTCCAGGGGTTACATGAGCGGTCTGGTGTTTGCATAGGCATTGCTCAAAGCCACTGCATGGCAGGTATTTGAAGAGCAGCCAGCAAAGTCACGCTAGGAAGAGGCATCTGAAAGGGTCTGTGGGGCACTGTGTACAAAAAGATCTTGTGCCGTGCAAACACAAGGACCACACTCGGTGTTAAAACAGTGCAGAATTGGGGCGCCTGGGTGGCGCAGTCGGTTAAGCGTCCGACTTCAGCCAGGTCACGATCTCGCGGTCCGTGAGTTCGAGCCCCGCGTCGGGCTATGGGCTGATGGCTCAGAGCCTGGAGCCTGTTTCTGATTCTGTGTCTCCCTCTCTCTCTGCCCCTCGCCCGTTCATGCTCTGTCTCTCTCTGTCCCAAAAATAAATAAACGTTGAAAAAAAATTAAAAAAAAAAAACAAAACAAAAAACAATGCAGAACTGTATGTGGAGTAAATGGAATCGGAGCCCTGACTGCTTTTCTTCCCAGTCCACTGCCACTCGGAGCAGGCAGCGCCAAGGATTCTTTGTTATGCTTTCTGCCCCCGGTGACCTTTGCTCGGAGGTTAAGCTGTGCCCGGATGTTTGAAGCATCTGTATTTTGGCTGTTGGACAGAGAAGCGAGAACAGGTGCGTCCCCTTCTGTAAGGGAGCTGCGGCCGCCAGAGGGCGCAGAGGTGCCTCTGGACAGACCCGGCGGAGGGGCGAGAGTGTGGGGGGCGGAACGGTTAAATTAAATTCGCAGCGAACGCGATCTAGTCCCGGGAATTAAAGGATCAGAGCCGGCACGGTGACGGATAAGGGGCAGTGAAGATACAAGGATAAAGAAATGGGAGGACTTTGTCCAGTTTACCTTCCCACAGCTGCTCCTTCCTCCCCAGTCAGCGTAAGGCCTATAAACCATTCTGGCTGGAGGTGAGGAGCTGGGAGCCGGGCTCCTGTTTCCTCAGTTTCCTGCTCAGCATTGCTCCAGTCCTTTCCCTGCTAGGGGTGTGAGGCACAAGACCCGGTCACCTTGAGGGCTGGGTTTTAGGGGGTCTCCGAGGACCTGCGGAGAGCGCCTCTCTTCGCCGCCCGCAGGTGCAGACGGTCCCCGCGCGCACCTGCGGGCGCGGCCCTAGGCCTGCCGGGTGGCAGCTGCGGGGGGCTCTGCAAGGCAGGGTGGAGGCGGGGCGGCCGCATCTCTTCCCCGCCCGGCTCGGAGGAAAGCAGCTGTTGCGGGCGGGAGAACCGCGCCCCTTCCCGCCGCTCCGCCCCACACACTTCGGAAGCGCAGTGGCTCCGGGACCACGCGGCTCCCCTCTTCCTCCAGGAAGGCTGTCCCGCTTAGGCCGAGGACGCGGTCCCCCCAAGCCCGGAGCCAGAGCCCAGGCCGGCTACGGTGTCAGGCGTGCGGTTGGCTCCTGGACGTCGGAGGATCCCCAGACCTCCCTCCCTTCCCCGTCTTCCGTTCCCACCCCAAGCGAGCGGAGGGGGGAGGGCATGGCCCCAGTGTGGCAGTTCGGGACCTTCCCGTTTCCCCTGGCCCCCGGCCGGCTGTGGGGGCTGTGGGGACACCGCCACTTACCCGACCCCACCCTGCGTTCTGCCTGGGCGGAGGCCGCGAGGTCCGGCCGTCGGAGCGCGGGAGCCCTCCCCAACCCCCGCCCGCGGAGGGTCACCCGCACGCCCCGCCCGGGGAGACCGCGACCTCTCCGCCCCCTCCGGACGCCCCGCCCCCCTGTCCCCGTCGGTCCCCACCCTGCCGGCGGGACACGCGCGCACAGACTCCGGCTAGAGCCGCCCTTGGTGTCAGTGGCCGGGCTCCCGCGTCCGCCCCAGCTGCGGAGCCGCCTTAGCACCTGTCGGTCGCTGAGTCCCGGAGCCGGCGCCCCTGACTCCGTCGGGGCCAGGAAGGGGGGCCATGGTTTCCCTGCCCAGGTCCCCAGCGACCAACTTGCTGCGGTTTTTGTTCCTGGGGCTGAGTACCCTCGGTGAGTGCCACCCGGGACCGGAGCGGGGGGGGGGGGGGGGCGGGGGGTAACTTGAGATGGGAAATGAGATGAATACAGCCCCCCGAGGGAGGTGGTTTGGGGCACTGGTGAGGAACTGGATGGAAGGGGACTCCCGCCTCTGACTCTCTTCCTCCTCCCCCCCACACTCCTCCACCCTCTCCGCACCCAGGGAAGGCATCGCTGGCTGGTATTGACTTCTGTCTCCGTGTCGTCCTCGACAGCTACCACTTTGGGTGCGGTGTGTGTGTAGTAGGGGAGAGGGGCAGGGCATCTAGCTGGGTAGACCTCTACCGCGAGATGTGGGAACATTCCTCATGCGTACTCCCCACCTCCACCCAGCAGAGCCGGATGAACTGAGCTACTAGATGAGACACTGGCTAAAGAGCTTAAGGACTTAACTCCAGCCCCCCTCATATCCCCCACCCCCCACACAAGCTGATGTGCAAGAACCCCCAGGAATTCCCTGGATCCCAGGCTTAACAAATGCACTTCGTGTCAATTCCCCAGCCCAGATCCTCTCTCTAGCCCCCTCCTGCTTCCTGCCCTGGGAATAAAGGGAGGTGCCCCAAAAGCATGACCGTGAGGTCACTTGGGACACAGGAAGTGGGGGAGGGGTTTGAATGCCTAGAGGAGCAGAATTGTGACCCCCCCCCCACGAGGTCCACCACCCCCATTGGTTCCCAGAGCCAAAGGGACAAAGGAAATAGAGAAGAAGTTCCTCAAAGAGTCAGAGAGGAAGGGTGCCTCCTTGGAGCAAGTGCCTAAGGAGTGTTGAGGGCTTCCATTCCTACATCTGGAGGGAAAAGGACCCATCATGAACTAAGCCCATTCTAAGCTCGTTTCACTTACTCCAAGGCTTTCTTGCCATCTTTTTTCAAGGATCCCGAATAGGGTGAAGGGTGAGTTTGTCAAGGTCAACTTTAACCCCTTATTTCTCTCACTTTGGAAGTCACCAGATGCAGAGAGCTATGCAGTACGATTCAGTCACAGTGATGGGGTCCTAGATGGGGAACACCTAATGCTCACCCATGCCCCCTTTAGCTTTGTGCTGCAAGGTGTGGGGACATGAAGTGGGTCCCCAGACAAAGAGGGCTCTAGAGCAGCCCACTGGCCACACTGAAGATGGAACATCTTTCTGCCCCTTTAGGCTTTGTGGGCCTACTCCAGGATCCCTTAACTTCTCAGTTCCCTTCTCCCAAGGTCAACCTCAATGCCCCTTTCCCTTCTGCCTTTCCCCCATCTCCCTGCTGGCCATTTGGGAAGCAAGGGAAGAGAAAAGTCCAAGTTCATTGCTTGGGCCTGGTCTACATCTCTCCTGTAACCTCTTCTTTTTCTATCCTAACTTTGAAGCCCAGTTTTTACACGACAGCCCAGGCTCAACGTCCCCAGCAGGCCACTGCAGGGGGCTGCTGACCTCTCCATGGCTGCTCTAGAGTTAAATGGCACTCTGGCCGCCACCGGGTGCTTGGGGCAGGCATCCGCTCTGCTGGGCTAGGCTGCACTGGGCTCTCCCGGAGGCCAGTCTGTTCCGCGCTCCTCCTCGGTTCTGTGCTGCTGCCCCTGGGGCGTGAGAAGCCGGCGGGGGGAGTTTCTCAGAGAAAAGGAGACTAAAAATAGTAGCCCCGGGGAGCGGGCCCATTTCTGTGCTCTTTAGGCCCTTGCCTGCTCTCTCACTCTGGTCTCAGAGTGGGCCAGAAGGTCCCTTTCTTGGGGTGCCCCTGTGTCCTGCACTCAGACCCACTGCTCCGGTGTCCTCTCCCCAGGGCACCACGGACCTTGTGAGCGAAAGGGGCTTCTGCTGCAGCGGGCACCCAGACCCGAGGGCAGGGAAGCCTCTGGCCCCCTTCAGCCATTGGTTTCTGACTGGGGCGTGTGCCCAGACCGCAGTGTGTCCATCACTATCTTTTACCACCCCTAGTCTTCCTTTTGCAAAGTGGTAGGATAAATGCAGGACCTGGGGGAGGTCGTCGGGGTCGCCTGTGGCGAAGAAGCTCTTGCCTCTCCCGGGACCCAGGCAGGGTTCCCAAGGGGAAATGTTTGTGGTCTCTCGGGAGTGTGCTCCAGAAAGGCCAGGGAAGATCCGGCACTGCCCGAAGGCCTCCCGGCGTCCCCGGCCTCCCCGCTCGGCGAGCGGGCCAGGTCCCCAGGGGGGTCGGGCTCCTTGAGGCAGAGGTTGTTTTCGCCTCTAGAGCCTCCGGTCTAGCTGCGCCTCCGTCATTGTCTTCTGCCTTATCACCGGGCACAAGTTTCCCGCCCGGCCCGCGGGGACCCGCCAGGAAATGGATAAGGGGGGTGCGGCGAAGGCCAAGGAATAGGGCCGGGGGTTCTGTAAAGACGCACAGCCGGAAAGCCGTGGGGGTGGCGCGCATCCTGGCCGGATCTGCGCCTGGCCCTTAGAGGCCTTTAGGGCCTGCTCCTGGAGGGCGGAAAGCCAGACCTGCGTGCGGCCTCTGTCCGCGCCTTGGCCGCCTGGTCACCATGTAGAGATGGCATCTCAGATTCCAATGCAGAGTGCTGAGGCCAAGGACTACGGTGGCCAGCATCCTCAGGCCTGGCCGGGTACAAGCCCGAGGTTATCCGCCCGCCCCCGGAAGGATTTAGGATTGGGCTGCTCCATTGCCTCTCTGAAAGGCAGAACGTGAATGTTTCTGGACGCCATCATGCAAGCATAGATGCCATTGTCCACTCCTTGAAACTGACACCCCAGTCCACCGCCTGAACTCCATAGGCACACAGACATAAGATTTGTACTTGATTATCAGGGGACCATCATGCGTGCTCCCGCTCTGCCAAGAGTTCCTGTAACCTCACAGGACCCGTCCGGATCGCCTGGACCCAAAAAGGGCCCCTTTCTGGGTTCTCAACTCTCCGCTTTCCTGGGGAAGTCCCTGGGTCGGGACTGAGCCTGGGGGCCTGGGGAGCACTACCGTCAGTGGGCCAGGTGGAGCGCTAGATCAGAAGGAGCCCCGCGGGTTAATCGGTAACCGGCAGGCCTTCCAACCCCCTCTGCCCATCGCTGGCGACCCTCAGCAGCATCGAGACCCACTCTGGCCCAGGGAAATTGGGGGAGCAAGTGGGCTATGCAGAGTGTAGATGAAAAGTGTTAAACCTACCCTTCCTCTCAGATGTCTTCCCCTCCCCACTGGAAATCTGCCCCCTCTTCCAGGTGCTCTGAAATCTGGATACCAATAAATGCACAGAAATGTGTCCCTAACCCTGTTATGAACCCAGGAGCTGAGGTTGTGGAGAATAAGGTCTGATAAAATCCCAAAGCAGGACACTAGGTCTGCCGTCCCTGGGCAGTGTGGGATCTTGCAAGGTTCGTCCTCTCCTCTGCTGCCCTGGGCAGGGCCCTCAGGCAGAGGGGAAGCCAGCCCTCCACGCTCACACCTGTGGCTCTTGTCCCCAGCGTCCCCCTCGCAGGCCCAGCTGGAGCTCCACGTGCCCGCTGGCCTCACCAAGCTGAAGGCGGTGGAAGGAGCAGAAGTAGTGCTCCCGGTGTGGTACACCCTGCAAGGGCAGGTGTCCTCGGGCCAGACGTGGGAGTTGCTCACCGTGATGTGGTTCTTGGAACAAGAAGGGAAGGATCTGAACCAGGTGAGGGAGGAAAGCATCTCAGCCGGAGGCTGGCTACACCCTGTGACTGAGGGCAGGGAAGAGCTGAGGAGAACAGGAGGGGTGGCCAGGGAATGGGGGACAGGGAAGGAGTTTCAGGAAAATGCAAGGTCCCTCACGGGCTCAGTTTTTGTTCCGAGCTTGGAGGCTGCCCCAAAGAATTTTCTTGTCCCCAATTTTCCCTAGAAATCCAGCACACGAAACACTGGAAAGTGGAAAGGCATTTTGCTTTGCTTTGCTTTGCTTTGAGGAGGGGCAGTGAGGATTGGGGTTTGAGGAGGAAGGAAGGGTTAGGGCAAATATTCCATAATTTTAAAAAGCTGAGCATCACCCTATTTTCATCTTCTCTGTGCTTTGGACACTGTCACAGGCCACTTCTCTTCCCATGTGATTTTCTGTCCTGCTGCCCCTTCATACACTCCTTTGAGAGGCAAGTGGTAGGCTCCTGCCCCACCCCCCCACCCCCACCTCCTAACATCAGACCTATTTTCAGAGGCAGATTTACCCAGAAGCCAATGAAATGTCATTTTCAGAGCCCCTTATTTGCATGAGCTCCTCCCTAGGCTCTGAAAAGTATGTTCTAGAAGTCATTTGATAAATAGGGGGTATGTGTGTGACAGAAATTGAGATTACAGGGGTAGATGTAAGTTTTGCAGGGCCTGAACTTATACATAGGGAAGGGGGGACGTCTTCAAGAAAAAGATTAAAAAAAGATATTTTAAAAATCCTGGATCTATCCCTGAATTCTAAGTTTCTGTCATAAATACCCCTGTTTACATTATTGCTCACCCATTATACCACCTTTCTAAACACCCCAAGTGGGAGATAAAGAGACAAGGCACAGGGGATCAAGAAGCGTCGTGGTAAAGAGGACCCAGGGCCAGTGAGGGTGGCTAGGGGGGAACAGGGTGAATGGGGAGCTGGTATAGGTTGGAGGGGATGGGTGCAGGGGAGGAGCACTTGAAGACTGCCAGTGTGGGGGAGGGGATTGGCTGAGCCCGCGGGCACAGTGCATACATGTGATAACCGGGAAGCGTCGTGCCCCACACCAGGTGTTG